TATTTATATTTATTTATATAAAAATCAGCGTGGAGCGGTATGTATGAGCAAAACATTTTTTAACATTTTGGACATATAAGGAATGGGTTAAAACTCATGCCACAAATTTTTTTGCTGCCTTTTTACCATTGGGAAAATTTCACTTCACTTCTTGTCCCAGAGACGCAACCGGAAAATCCTCCAAAGTGAGGGGAATGCTCCACTTAGACAGGATTTTTGTCCCCTTTTCTTATGGGGACAGCTCTAAAATTCTGGATTTCCCCTTACTTTATTTTGTGATGACAATGGTCACCAGTGGGAACACAGACAGCAAAAAAAGCATGACAAAGGATCTAAACCACCCCCTACACAAAGCGCACACACACATATACACACAAAAAAAAACAACAATATTAGGAGTGGAAACATCCAAAGATGACCATAAGCTGCAGTTTGGGTTAGAACAGTGGCATCCAATCCACCCCAGCTAGCAGTTTAGGGCCACTTTTGGGTGTTTCCTGAACTAAAGGAGTTAGACCTTACTGTTGGAGTTCCCAAAATATAAATACATTTAAATCAACAGTTTCCACCTGCAACTGAACCATTACTTTTAGGTGGATTGGCCTTTTAGGTAGTTTTTGTAGATATCAAATTTCTTGTCTAAGTAACACTTAAGGCTTATGTCCAACCAAAAATGTGTTTTCTTAGTTTTGGATAGCGTAGGAAAGGGTTAGAATCATTGTCTGGTTTTACTGCTATCTGGAGCTTGGTTGGAGAGATTTTTTTTCACTTCCAGGTCTGCAGATCACATTTTACAGGACAGGAAGTGTGGAGATCTGTCCAACAGCAACACAGGCAGAAATTAAAATGAATTTCTTTAGTAGAGTAGGGGAAAGCAAGAATCCGTGTCAGATTTGTATTTCTACCTGTGTTCAGGTTTTCCCTTACTTCCTATATGGTGAAACTGCTGTCTGCAGGACAGGAAGTCAGGGTGAATCTCTCAACCGTGTCCTGGATAGCAGTGAGAACCCAACAGGAGTTGTAATCCTCCCCCATTCTATCCAAAACTAGAAAAAAATGAAAAAAATGAAAAATGATTTGACAGAAACTTTATTTGATCATGCAATGTTGTATATCTCTACAATGTACCCATTACATGAGAAATGCCAAGAAGGAATCCATGTATTTGAAAAGGAATGTTGATGATGAGAATTTCTGTTTTATTTTAAACATCAGGGAGCATTATCTCCTGAAACAAGTTAAACAGAGCTCCATTTGACTTCAATGCATATAAATATAGAATTGGTTAGTGGCCCAAGCTACATAAGGTAAACCAAAGCTCACCTATCCATGGCTTCTTCACCAAGGCTGTCAACATGTCCAGCAACCTTTTCCCAGATATGGGCAATATCATCCTTATCTGAAGCACTGAAAGGCATTTTGTCTTGGTCCCTGGTCAGCAGTTTGAATAAAAATTATGTGACTGAAATTAGGTATGGGGGTTTAAATATGTATGGGGAGCTCTTCATATGTCCTTATGTGACCTCCACCCACTTTATTACCATCTGCTTATCTAACATTTGTACCAATTACGATGACTGGCTGGTCTAAGGATCTGTGTGTACTTTTATGATGAAATGCAGATCTTATATTTAATAAAAAGCAGATGTCCACATATAAAGAGTAAATATCTCACATATGTTTAACTCATATACTAATGTGTTTAAATTAGAGCTCTCAAAAAATGTCTTACCAGAAGATATCATTTACCATATCAATTGCTACATTTCATGCATGTTTTCATTCACTCTGCTCAAGCTTGTTTCTCCAACAACACAGAAACTTTACAACCTGTACTTGCAATTTGTATCTGTTACCATCCGTCATCACAATGCAACTTCAAGTATGTTAGCAAATATAATGCATTCACATGCATGTACTGGGGAAATCAGTGAGCTGGCAAAAAATGCATCTCGGGGTATTTGGAAACATCCTTTGGCTGGTTACAATTTTGTCTGTTTTTATTTTTGAAAGTGGAACTCCAGCCATAGACATTTATAGATTTTTTAATCTTAATACTCATTTTTAAGACAAAAAAGTTTCCCATTGCCATAGGGTGTAAAATGCTCACATCACCTTTAGTTACTGCATAATTCACTCATTAGTGTACTAGAAAATAGAGTCAATGCCAAACATCTGGTCACAGAATACAAGACATTCTGTGAATGGATCTCTCCTTGTCAATTCACACACAGCAATAAAAAATGGAACAGAGGTTCTAACCCTTCCACACTCTATACCAGTGTTTCTCAAAATTTTTTGAGTCAAGGCACACTTTGAAAGTATGCAAAATCTCGAAGCACCCCAGTAAGCATACCTTACTTTTTTCTACACAGCGAGATGCTGACACTGTGACCATGTACCTGTGCATGACCTTGTACCTGTGCACCATATCCAAGTCTTCCACTTTTATGTGGTGCAGTGCATTTAAAAAAGTAGTGTATGCATGCACTACTTTTTTCAACTGCACCGCAGCACACTTTATTGTGCTAACGTGCATTGCAGCACGGTCGAGCACATTTTGGCCGGGAGGTGCATTTGGGGTGTCATTTAAATGTATGGCACCGCAATGCCCCTGCCACAATGTAACGCACAGTAGTTGCGTGTGATCAAGGCAGGGCCTTGGTGTGAGCGGGCCCTTAACATGTAGGGAAGAATTGCAACTGTGCACCCCCAAAGTGTCAGTGCTCAAAGTGTCAATGACCAAGAATGTGAATCGAGCATAGAGTACATCATTCCCACTTCCCACGTGCTCACTTGCTGTATCTAAATCTTATGCTGTGGCTGCTGACAGTGTCTTTAGAGGCTGATGACAAGTGAGCAGGGAAGAGGTGAGAATGGACGGATGCTGTGCTCGATCCATATTCTTGGGCAGTGACACTTTGGGCACTGACAAGGAGAAGGTGGGAATGGATCTGAATACCAGGAAATAACCAGGAATTAAAGTTCAGGAGTCAGATAGGATACAACCCACAGAGCATTGAGGCAAAGTCTATGAAGGGAGTCAGCTTTAACTTGGAGCCACCTTAAATAGACCAGCCATGTAATCAAGAATTAGGGCAGGACACACCAAGACAAGAGCATGCATATGCTTGTCTACGTGCTAGGTCACATGAGGAGCTACAAACATCCAACTGATGCTGCATTATTAATAAAGCATACTATATAGAAATGATTTATAACATTTGGGTGTAAAAGTGACTTTAATGATGGTTCCTGCATCAGTATTAATGAAAATGAAACAAGGATTCTTATATCAGGGTCAGAGTTAGGGGCTCTGTTAATATGTCACTTTACACTGCTCATCCTAATCCACATAGCATGTTACACCATCATATATGTAAATGTCACATGATGAAATAATTTTTTATTTTATTTTTTCCAATCAAAAATCAGCTTTATTGTACATAGGTATAATACAATGACATAAGGAGACAGTGTCTCAACTACATAGCAACATCTGCAGTACACATCTGGGATAGAAAGGTACAGTCGGTCCATTACATGTAGTGGGAACATGGGAAGGCTACACAGCTCAGCAGAGCAGACATTATATGGCCATGCTGACCTTATGTATTATAGTGAAACAGTAACCGGGGAAATGCAAACAACATGGCCAATAGAGTCGGAGATCGGGTATTAGGGTTGTATGAGCCTCACGCAGCCTCAAGTATAAGGACAATTGGGATTGGTAAGCAAACATGGGTTGGTTGACAATTCCTGTCGCTCAGGAACAAGTAGAGCAAGAGTTTGCTTATGTGTAGTATCGATGGGGATAGGTTAGGGTGGGGGGGTAAAGGTTAGGGTAGAAAGGAAGGGTAGGTAGATGGAGGCAAGGGCGAGAAAGCCAAAGGAAGAGGAGCCAGGGGGAGTAAAGAGCAGCAAGGTTGTGGGTCGAGAGTGTAACATTCCAGTCCCCGCTAGGACTCAGGTGGGGGTTGCGGTCATGGCCTGGTGGTAGGCATCTGTGTCCTGGAAAGAGGCCCAGGGTCTCCAAGTAGTCCGAAAAGTCTCCTCAGTGTTCTGGAGCGTAGAGGTTAAGTTCTCCATCACGTATATCTCATTAACCTTAACGAACCAAAGTCCGAGGGAGGGGCAGCTAGGCTGCTTCCACAGCAGTGGGATGCAGAGCATTCAGGAGGTGCCTAGATCGTGATTTTTTGTATTTTCCAAGGGACATGTCATTCAGGTGTAACAGACATGCAGCAGGGTTGTCCGTCAAATCCACCATCACCAGGTCCTTCATGGTGGCAATCACCCCCCGCCAGAACGGGAGTAAGAGAGGGCAGGACCAGAATGTATGTAGTAACGTGCCCGGGGCACTCTGAAATCTCCAGCAGATAGGTGGAACTCGAGGATACATGACGTGAAGGACTGTTGGGACCCGGTACCACCTGGATACTATTTTATATCCCAACTCTTGGGTTTTGGATGCAATGGAGGAGTGGTGCACCAAATGTAAGATGCAGTCTTTTTGGGCCGGGGTGAAGATGGTATGTAAGTCGCTTTCCCATTTGGCCAAGAATGTCGGGTAGGACTCTGGAGGGGGGGATATCAGCATGGAATATAGGAGGGAGATCGCATGACGGGTAGGCATCTCCTCTTTGCAAATCTTTTCAAATGGGGTAAGGGGCCTGGAGAGCCACTGATGGTTAGGAATAGAGAGCAGAAAATGCTGTAGTTGGAGAGCGCCCCTACGGTCTAATGGAGGGTCTGTCAGATTGGCAAGTTCATCCACCAGTAACCACCGGCCAGAAAGGTGTAATTCGTGTATACGGAACTTGTTGGCTTCACGAAGGCGACGGAAACGAGGATCGTGAACACCAGGCGGGAAGTCTGGGTCGCCAATCACTGGGGTCAGAGGCGAGGGGAAAGGGGAGATGTCCGTGGAGCGAAAAAGCGAATTGGTGATCAGAATTGTGGGCACAATGATGGGGTGGGAGCGCACAGAGGGTGACAGGGGCGCAGAGAGCCAGGGCATGCCAGCCAAGGCTGGGCTGGTGTCTTCCTGTTCCATCCCTACCCACTGTTTGGTTGCCCGGTGACAGCACCAATCCCATACACGTGCAAGGTGAGTAGACCTGTGGTACTTGGCCACATCCGGGAGCCCGATGCCTCCCCTATCATAATGGCATTGCAACGACCAAACCAGGAGAGTGACAATGAGTGCAAGGACAGGAGGTCCTGCTTGGTCTTCAGGAGTAGAGGGGCAAAGTTGGAATCATAGAGTCGTGCGGGGTCTGCAGTAATCGAGGTACCTAGGTAGGTCAGGGCGTCCGTTGACCAGGCAAAAGGAAAGGAGGTACGCAGGTGTTCCACCTCTGCCTGGGGAAGGGAGATATTGAGAGCAGCCGATTTTGAGAAATTTATTTTAAAGTTGGAGAGGGAGGTGTAGCGATCCAACTCTCGTAGAAGAATTGGGAGGGATGAGCAAGGGTCAGATATGAAGAATATCAAGTCGTCTGCAAAGGCGGCTACTTTGTGCTGACCTGAGCATTTCAATAGGCCACGGAAGGTGGGAGGGGATAGTATGCAGCAAAGGAAAGGTTCAAGGGTAAGGATAAATATGAGTGGGGAAAGGGGGCATTCCTGTCTGGTGCCGTTGGATATGGAGAAAAAATCAGAGCGGACCTCGTTTACACGGACGGCAGCCGACGGGGACGGGTAGAGTGCAAAGATCCACCGCAGCATGTTAGGACCCAGGCCTATGTGGCGAAGGGAGGGAGTTGTATGCGTCCAAAAAGTGAGATGAGAGAATGTTGGAAAAAGTTTTATAATAGGGCAGTGTGTAGCCAACAGGACCGGGCGCTTTGCCTGGTTTAGCCTGCTTGAGTGCCAGATCATATTCCCCTTGGGAGATTGGAGTTTCTAATCCCGTACCCCAGGTGGTAGAGTGGGCATCCCAGATTCCCTAAGATAGCGTGTCAAAGTTGTACTGTCGGGGGAGGTAGAGGAGGTACCCGGGCCTGCTCTAAGGTTGTACAGCGAGCTATAGAAGGTCTGGAATTCCCTGGCCATAGCGGCCCACGAAGTCAGTTTTGCTCCTGTGCTGGACATAATGTGGGGAATGAGTGTCGCCTGATGGGAACACCGCAGAGCCGAGGCCAAGCACCTGCCTGGATTGTTGGATAGTTCGTACAGAGTACGGCGGCCCTTTAAGAGGCCCTGCCGTACATTGGAGAGGAGGAGGTCATTTAGTTCCGCTCTGAGCGAGACCAGCTCCTTTAGATGAGTAGTTGCCAAGGATTTTTTGTGTGCAAGTTCAAGGGTGTGGAGTCTGGCAAACAGCTGGGCTACTCTCACCCCGCTCTCCCGTTTCTTGCGAGCACCATGTCTGATCAAGACGCCTCTGACAACGCATTTATGGGCTTCCCAAACGACCGTGGGTTCCAAGGACGGAGAACAATTTTCTGAAAAATAGGAAAGGATCGCAGATTCCAGTT